TCCCCCACCCGCGCGCCTACCGCAAGCCCGACGGTCTCCCCGACGGCCTCGCCTACACCTGCTCCCACGCCGGCTCCCACGCCATCTCCCACCAAGGCGCCTACGGCCTCGCCCACAGCCTCCCCCACCCGCGCGCCTACCGCAAGCCCGACGGTCTCCCCGATGGCCTCGCCTACGCCGGCTCCCACGCCGGCTCCCATGCCCTCTCCCACCAAGGTTCCTACTGCATTGCCTTCCGATATGTTTTTGACGACACGTACTCCTTCAATATCATCAACGGTGTTTCCGACATCGGTTGGCACGGTGGGCCGAGGTGTTTCGGCGGCCCCTTCGACGAATATGAGCGGAATGACTACTGGACCTACAAAAAGACCTAGAGAGACTGAGACGCCATCGATCGCACCGATTCCCCCTGTAGTTCTGACGGGTTCCCCTACGCAAAATCCGGGGCTTCCAATCTCTATATTGGACGAGGAAGAAGCCCGTAGAGCGGCTAGATTGAAACAAATGGAACTTCAGAAACGTCAACGCCGCGCATTGGCAGGGGGTATAGGGGCTGTCATTTTTTTGACGGCGGCGGGTGTCATTGCCTTTCTGCTGCGAAGACGGCGTCGGTTTGTGACTCCACTTTGAAACTCTTGCAATGAGGATAGCGTATCCGAACCCAATTTGGTCGATAAAGCATACGGGAGAGAAATGAAAGGAGAGAGAGGGAGGGAGGACTTTCATTCATCCCAATGCTCTCCGCACGCCTCGCAAGTGATCAAGAGGCGGTAACGGTCTACTTGTGGCTTACGTCTCCATCGCCGCACCCAGCATTCATTGCCATTACAACGTCCGCATTGATAGGCCCTGGAAAAAACTCGCCCCGCTTGTGCCTAACAGACATTTACAAATTTTTATTGAGAAAGACATGGAAGTGATACGTTGACAGCGTAATAAGCTAGCCTTTGCGCGTGGTGGTTAACGCAAGATGCAATACTGCAAACACTTTCATTTAAGAAGACATTTGTAGACCAAAGTAGGTGCAGCAGCGTCACGAAAAATACCGATGACACACGGTAATGTCGGAATTTCGGAATTTCAGGCTCTGTCCACGACCTGCCGGAAGTCATTCTTGATCGTACCTGTGCCGCCTCTGCACTCACACTTATGCGTTTGTGAGCATCTTCCCCCGCTTTCCTCCTTAAGGCCTTCTCATCCTCCCGCAAAAATTCTTCTGGGCTGAGGCGAACCATACGAGAGGGAGAAAGACGTCTTGGTAATGTAGATTGATGCAAGAAGAGGGAGGGGAGCTAGGTGTATGAGAAAAAGGACCGAAGCTTTGCACTTGTTGAGGGGGGAAATGAGAAGGAAAAGAGCGAACGCAGGAAAAGAGCATGCCCTGGCGGCATGATGTTGAAGTTAAAGGCACATTTCGTCCAAACGATAAGGAGAAAAATGAGAAACAAACAAAAGCCTTAGACGCCGAATTTTTAGTATGGCACACAACAATAAATACAACGTAACACATTCTTAGACATGGAGAGAAAAAGAAAATTAGTGTTTGAATCATGGCCGCTTTTGAGTCTTGCGTCTGCTTTACCGCAAATCAAGGTGTACCCGAACAGATTCAGATTCAATCGTCCGTCAAAACTGACATAAAGTTTAATTAATATTCCCCAACAACGGTCAAGATAATTGCAGAAGGAGCACAACTTAGAATAAAGAGGAATAGCGAAACAAGAACAAAGGCCAAAAGATACAGGAAACAGGGACCAGGAATCACGAATGCACCTACCCAATGAGCAGCTCCTCACGCAATCGAGTGTTACTACTCGCCGCACGCATATCCCCAGGGTCTTTCAAATGGAAAAGAAGCTTGCGGAGCATATTTTGATACTCTCGGGAGGTAATCCTATGCTCAATGTCGCAGCCCACGAAAGGGAAATGAGTACAAGCCAGTCAGTAAGTCACATTGCTAAAAGACCGCGGGTATTGACGACCGTAAGCGACCTCTCCCTTCTCGGTCCACAGGCACGACATTCACCAATTCGGTAGCCGGTATGTTGCCGCCCTTCAAACGTTCCCCCACCACCTCCACAACTTCCTCAGGGATTCATCCTCCTCTTTCCACTCGAGACACCACGCCCCAGAAACCCCATGGCGGCTTTTCGTTTTGCACACCATCCCATCGCCCACGTCTCCCTCTTTGAACGCCATCCCCTGGCGCACTCACCGTTCCTGCGTCGCCAAGAATAGTTCGCGCTCAAGGGCTCGGCAAAGGGGCTCAGGCAGTTTGGTTTTCTGTACCAAGGCATCCACGTGACGTGCCCGCAGGACTAGGGCAGGAGGGAAAGGAGCAAAGGGAACGAGGGAAGGCGGGGTGAAGGGAGAGCGAGGGACAGGGGGGGTAGAGATCTTATCTTACTATCCCTGATACCGTGATCGACTGTCTCAGGCGTCCACCACTATTTTTAATTGGTATCCTTTTTCCTGTCATTTCCTCCTTCACACTTGACAGGTACGCCCTTGACCCTCCGTTTTATGGCCTTTTCGGGTTCGACACAGCCAGCACGCCTCCCTGGAGTACACTTCTTACCCAATGTTTTCGCTTTTTCCCATCGTTTGCAGCATTTCCCGCGTGAAGACCCTGCGTAGGTGAGGATGCGGCAAAGGACGTCCTGTGGACAGTGCAACGTTAGAAAATAAGCTCAGATGGCAGCACAGAGCATACAAATGATATGACCGGATGATTTGATACGACTAGTGATTAATTGGGAAGATATCATTCATAGAAGGGGCGGACTTTCAGACGTACGTCGGGTACAGGCTCGAAGTACGATGGCTTGGACCTTGAGTCTCCATCTTCCGCCGTCGAACTGAATGCGAGGGAGCTCTTTTCAGATGCCTCTAAAATCGGATCAAAATCAGCTGCTGGGGCTTTCTCTGTTTCAATACATGTCTTCTCCTCCTCCTCTGTTTCTCCCCCTGACGGGGATGAGGCTTCCAAAGCCATGGCCAAAGCCGCCTCCAAGCAATAAGAGCCCTTCCCCTCAATTGTTGCGTCGTCATGATATATTACGCTGGTAATTTTGCCGTTTCTTCTGGCTGAACTCATTTCTATAGGGTGTAGCGTGGAAAGGGTTGTGGGCTGAGGAGGAGGAGGTAGTCAAAAGCGCAACTCGGACCAAAAAACTTCAACCGACGGAAACGTCACCCGCTTACAACCATTATCATGCTGACAACACGCCTCTTAACCAATATAGCATTCCTATAGCTTACAAAGGACCTTTGTTTCCCTCTTGATTTTTTATTGGTAGCCGTCTTTATTGAATTGACGGCCATTAATCCCTGTCTGGTACGGGCGGGAGACAAGGGGGGGGAGGAGGTTAACGCTTCCAGGGGGGTAGGAGGCTTGCCTGCGTCAGACATTGGAGTATTTCTTACGCATGTTGAAAGCATAAGGAGCCGCTCTTAATGGGTCGGTACTCTTCAATTGACACACGTGGACAGGACGCCGGGACTTGATCATTGCGTGACGCCGCCAGGTGTCGTTTTGCTGGATTTACCGTTTCCGACTCTCAAGACGTTCGGGCAAAGGACATTGTCGCCTGTCACCGATACCCTTTAATACCTTCGATTTCGCTGCATCTGAATCGATAAACATGCATGTATGAAGGCCGTAGCAACCCAACCAGTCCACCGCCCATTGCTGTTTTGCCGCCGTTTCCTCGTGTTTACCGTCGTCCTCTCCCTGACGGTGCTGACTTGCATCTCTCCTTCCTACAACGCCTTTGATCTTGTCCCCGCGCTCAGGACGGCAACGAGCAGAGACAAAGGAATTAAAATTCGGGTCCGTAAACAAGTGTATTCGAAATTCAATGCAAATGGAGGGAGATGTTACACTACCTTCCCCACTCTCTTACAGGCGCTTCCTCCTCCTTCGCCGGCACCCCCGTTCCTCTCACAGCCATCCCTTCTCCTTCGCTTCGCCACTCCATCCTCCCCTCCCTCTCCTCCCTCCCCCCACGAAGCGAAACGCCGCCGTCGAGCCATGGCCCGTCAGAGGCGACGGAGACGGCACGCGGAGGAAAGAGCGGCGTTCCAGAACCAAACCTTGCATGCTCCCGGTCTCGTCCCCTCGCAGGTAGCTACCTTCCCTTGCCCTCCCAACTCATCGCATGGCTGTGAAGCGTCCCGCCTTCGGCCTTCACCCTCCATCCCCACGGGTGCCTACTCTGTTCGTGCGTCCCCGTCCCGTCGCATTTCTCTGTACACCCTCGCCATTGGCTCCTCGCTCCCGGTCTCTCACCTCCCCCCTTTGACCACCCGCTCCCTCCCACGCCACTTTTCTCGCCACTCTCCGCAGGTGTACCTCTCCCCTCGCCACAAAAAGCGGCCTCCCTTCCCTGATCTTTCCACGACCCCGACCTCCTCCTCTTCCTCCCCCTCTTCCTCCGAGGAGGACGCCCAGGACCTGATCGTCCTCGAAGTGCCTGCCTGTCCTCCGTCCCTCCCTCCTTCGCCCCCTCCTTCCTCT